AACTAAATTTTTTGTTTTGGCTAATAAATATGAATATTAGATCAATATCCACTGACGTAATGAGACCAAAATCCTCGGAAAAGGTGTGATTTTACAAGGATCGAATGTTGGAAATTACTAAGGGAAGAAGTAGATCATAGGGAGTTGGAAGGTTTTCTACGTGATTGGCAGACATTTCAGACTTTGTATAGATCACCACTTCTGCTCGACGCACTTTTGCATCTCGAGGGCGAAGTTTCGGAGTGTGTCAGGATGAACCAGGTTCAGCTTACTACATTGTGGAGTCATTGAGTAGGGCCCTGAGAGAGAGTTTCCACCCTCTAGAGGGGAGGGAGTCGTCTATTTGAAATTTTTTCCCCGACGTTGGATCTGCTTCCCACATAAAAGCTCTTGCTACTGCTTTCGCGAATGCTCATACATCAGACCGTGCCTGAACCAGACTGCAATTTTTGCCTGGACTTCTCGGGGTGTGCGGATCTCCTCACAGTCCTGGGTAAATTGTGAACACAAAGAACACATAAAAGATGTACCTATAAGTATAGGACCGCTTCAAAAAAGGCTCCGCATGGAGAGGACTTGTGTTTATCGTCATGTCAAAATTCTAGACAAATAAAATAAAGAAACGTAAATATAAGTAATTATTCATTAGCACCATCTTAAGGAATAAGTAACAATAATAATATTAATACGAAAGTAGTTTTGAAAACTGTTCATTTTCATTTGTGTTTATTTTAGCTTGATGTTGTTGAACGTGGGTTTCAAATCCAATTCATTCATTTTGAATGAGTAATGAATAGATTCAGCCATTTCTGATTCAATGCTATCTGAAGTGATTCAGTGTTGCATCATCGCTATGACTCTGGCGCGTCGTCAACCTACAAGGAAGATGGACGTAAAATGGCGATTCAATATGGAACTGGATCGATGAAAGGCTTCATTTCCAAGGATACTGTCTGTGTAAGTAAAAAACCATTTCAACACATTCATGTCTGCGCCGATTTGTCCCATCTGATGTGATCCCTGATGGCTCATACAGGCGATTGCGCAACACGAGTAGAAGGATTTGTACACGAAATTGCGCCGATCCACCAAGGGAGAACATGTGGTGCAATTATTCGTGCCACCTACAGTAATCTCACTTTGTGCAGGGTAAGAAAGCTGCAGGTCATGTGGACCATGTTCGTTTCTGCTTTTACATGCAACCCTG